CGAGTATTTTTTTTCTCCATCTTTTATTTTCGCGTAATGGTTACAGTATAACGGTCTTGTTTCTGGTGAGATGCCAGCCTCAACAAAGGGCTGAGACAAAAAAGAGAGGAGTCGGAGAGGCTTGTTTCTCCCGCAGCACGACGAACATGTCGGTGAGCGTCGACCAATGTCTGATGAGAAAGTCGGGTTGAACTTGAGGCTGGTCCGTGTCCCAATACTAGTCATTGTCTCTGCCGGCGCCGTTCTCCGTTGCGTGAGGGCAATGCAAGGCATTGGGCGGAGACCGGGGGGGTGAGCTTGAAGACGGGAGCGAAAAGGCACGACTAGTAGTGTGGGCTTGCTTGATTTTGGTGACTATTACCTGATTCTTCTAGTTTTTCCAACAAGTCTGTTGGCAGCTAGTTTGAGACGGGTTCAGCCGTAGGGTTGGCCGAGAACAAGATCCAATTCACGACGGCGTGCGAGTTAATACAGGTGAGGTACCTCAGATATGTCGAGCACGCACACACTTGCAACTATTCGCAGTGGAGGCGACTATCAGCTACGGACCATAGAACAGCCAGGCTGTTCGCTAAGGTAGAGCACCAAAAGCAAGTTGCAGGGTAGACGAGTTGCTCTCCCCTCACCTCGATCCCATCTCATCTTTGCATTTTCTTCACCCCCGTTAACAACTCCAGTCCTTCAAACGAATAGGATAAATGAACACCAAGAAGGCGATTGATGCGATTGATGGGATATCCAGCCAATGGGCGATGCCGAGGCCGGTGCGACGCTCCGATTGGGTGCTGGCGGTGTACTCGTCATTGTACCGGTGTCCAATTGGTCCTGAGGCGTTGAGCGTGACCTTGAACGGCACGTGGAGTCTCTGGGATGTTGCCGGTCTAGATTGGCTGGCGCACAAGGAGGAGGTAGAGGAGATTTCTTCATGTCCTCGGCCGTTTTGTCTTGGTGAAGCAGGGACAGCTATGTACTACTAGTCATTATCGGTATCTTGGCTGCGTGTGATGTCTCTGGCTGCTTTTTCTTTATGTCGTTGCCTGGTGTTGGCTAGCTAGTGCTATCTGATTCATGGATGCAATTGTGTCCTCCCTCGGTTGTAGACTAAATCTGCTCATTGTAGCAGCTCATGATGCTCAGGTGAAGGAATCCATGATCCGGAACTCGTCCCTAGCACCTCAATCAATGAGCTCCTCGACCCCCGGTATGTATCAGCCAAGATGGCACGACATATTATGTACTATCAACCAGCCACAACAAGGCATACCAGTCATGTGTGTAATGGATGGTTCTTATTGAGAGCAACGAGGGATCATTATCGTCCGATTTCTCTCCTCCCTGCCCTGTCCTTTCTCTCCAGTAAGAGCACGCACACAGCTTGGTCCATCCATGAATATTGCCTTCCATGCCTCTCCCACGCACAGTACTTACACAGTCCAGGACTTACAGTGCAAGCCATCCACGCCACAGGGACCAGGGGTCCAGGCTGTAGTGCCCTGGGCTGCCGCTAATGCCCGTTAGCGCAAGAGGCCACACCCCCCCCCTCCTCACCTTCCGTCCTCCTTCTCCCACTGTGTCTCTCCCACCATCGGCTTGGCTCTTGGTCGGGCTTCTTTGTCTCGATTTTTTCCCTCATCGACAACCCGCCGTCTCCCATCGCCACTTGGAGCCCCTGGCCCATGGTCTATTGATTGTACGAGTACAAGTAGTATGTATACCTTACGCTGTGGGGTACCGGCTGGCAGGCTGACTTGGTTCCGAAAGAACGATCGGCTCTCTTGTCCTGGTGTCACGTCGCATCTCTGCGGTTGACCGAGGTCGCCAGTCCGGTCCATCTCTTCTGCTGCGAGCACAGGTAAAGTACGAGTATGGACCTCACGGAAGCTGCAGCGACCCCCGCGACGTTGTCGTGATACCCCAGCCTGCCCTATCACGCTCACGCACGGCCTCTAGTGGCTGGCAGGGCCCTTGTGCAGATGGCTTGGAGAATGGCCTGCTTTTTCCTCCTAGGCCTCTTTCTTGCTCTGCTATTAGTACTCCATACGAGTGATACTACTAGTACTACTAGAGGGGGCAGCTGCTGGCCTAGCTAGTCGGCCGGACGTGATCAAGGTTGCGCAAGCTCCAGATCCTCTTCATGCGCGAGCGGCGCTGCATATGAAATCTAACGACGTGCATGGCCAGGTTCGGCCCATCGAGAACTAGAGATTGACCGCTGTGCGGCCGAGCGAGGCCTCATTGTCAACAGGTCCGTCGTCATTTCTGTCTGTACTTCAATCGGGTCGTCATTGTGCAAGCATTGACAAGCCGACAGCCGAGACCTTTTGTGGCTCGGCATCGCGAATCGAGGTCACCACAAGGCAAGGGTTGCGGAAGCAGAGAGATGCAAGTCTTGGAGATTTGGGTTCCGGATGACGGAGCAGAATCAAAACGGAGCGGAACATGCAGGTCGGCTCGAAGGCCTCGAACTCATCCAGCGACTATTACTTGGTACTTGGACTCTGGGGCCTTGTGCGAGCCGACATGCTTGCATGCTGCCATGTCTCACAGCTGCGCTTCACGTGCTTGTCACATCGGTCTGTGTGATGACCGCCTCTGGCGCCATCTGCTTGCGCTGCAAAGGTCATCGTCGTGAGCCGGACCGTCCCACTAGCTTGCCCGAGGCCATCACAACGCCAACAATGAGTGTGATGAGATGATCACGAGCTGGGGATTTTCATCTGTTGCCCGTTCCTCATCTTACACCAACATCATCGATTGCCGCTTCTGGCAATCATGCAGGCGTTAATTCAACGATCACCGTGGTTCGGAGTAGCGCCTCGACAAGCCGCGGCGGCCGACGGTGGGGTTGTCACAACGATAGAACCAACACGCATGCACTTTGCCGTCCCGTTCGCACTTACATGGACATGAGGATGGAGATCGTGGACGCCAGAGACATGCGGCCAAGGTGGCAACGGTCAAAGGATTCTCGGCCTTTGGGCGTGACCGTTTACAAACATGGCGGCTGAGACACTCCCAAGCCACCGGCCGGGCGATTTGCGCTTAGACGGCTAGCCGGGCCTCACCGACTACTGCACGTACTCGTATGAGACTGTTGAACGGAGGCAGCGAGGAAAAAGAAAGAGGACCTTGCGTGCCCAACGACGGGTCCCCGAATGGAGCCATTTTGCTCTTGTTTCCTCACTTGGACTGCGAGAAGAAAAAAAGATTTCATCGAGTCACGAGGCCGCAATGACGGCATCAGATATTCCACCGCCTCGTTTTATGGAGTGCTTTCCGTGAGATCTTCTGGGGTCCTCCTTGTCTCTGCTCGTGCTTGCTCTGCAGTTCGATGGGGCATCACGATGCTGACGGAGGAGTCTATCGGTGTTAATTATGTGCCGCGTAGTGACGGCATTCGAATCTGTCCAGGAGCTGTCACCTTGATGGGAACAAGTCACCGAGGCTCGACGGGCTCCCCAGACAGCGGAGCAGCTACACTTTTAAGCAAATGATGTCGTAACAGACTTTGAGCATTCGACCTTGTCTGCAGGATGGAGCGGGGATGCATGGATGCAGGGCCATGGCGGAAGCACGATGAACGAAGTTTCCGGGCCCCTTGCCTCACCTCTCGCTCTCTCTCTCTCGCCTGCGTCTCTGTTTCCTCGCGTTCTCGCAGCACTTGGAAGCCTCTCGCCCCATGCGCCGTGCATACAGGCACGGCGAGACTGCGTCGACAACCCTTGTTTGTGCATGAATGATCCTGTCAGTGTCGACCAGGGCCGCGCTCGACCTTTGTCCGCATCCCGGTCGGTTGCTGCTGGAGCAGCAAAGACAAGAGACAAGAGACAGAGAGATCACGGCGCCTAAGCGCCGGCTATATTTGGACGAGGACCGGCGTCCGCGGTCTTGGGCCATCCAGCAAATGGCGACGGCCAGCAACCCTGCTCGCGGCTCCACACGATGGTATTGTGCGGCAGCCTCCATGGGCGGCCGGGACGCTTGACTGGCTGGAAGAAACGACACCATCTGCCAGTGTTTGCCTGATGGTCCAATTGATACCGTCCTCTTCGCGCCGCCCTGACGGCAGAAAGGCCCGGCCTCAGGCGCCAATGGCGAGCCGGCTCTTTGTCTCCAGCACCGCTGTATCACCCTGCTCTCGCCCGGGCCTGTGCTTGCGAACGTGCCCAGCCCTCGCGGCCCTCGCTGCTGTGGCCGTGGGACTCGACCCAACTGCTACTGCTATTCTTGTCCCCCGCAACGACCTTGCGAGCCGGATCGGTGTGCTCATCACCTCGCATTACAGACTAGTAGTAGCTGTGGTGGTGCTTGTGCTGACTGACTACCGGGACCGAGTGCCCCTTGCTCGGACGCGCAGCTCTCCATGTCCTTGCCCATGTACCCACGGAGCAGGTCTTGCGTATGCGTACTGTCTCTCTCGCCCGCAGGAACTCTCGGCCGGTCCCTCAAGATGCGGCCTTGGTCCATGAAGAATACTTATCAACCGCTAGCCGCCCACTGAGATGCAGAATTCTCTTCCCCCTTTGCGACCCCAATCTCGTTTTTGTGACATCTACTCCATATCGAGCCTTTTGCCCCTTGGTCCTGCGGCTCCTCGTCTCTTCACGTCTCGTTTCAATTTCATTTGCTCGTGTATCGCAGAGTAACCTCGATTGTTGCATCTCTGCGCGAATTCCACCTGTCTAGAGAGCTTGCCGGCAACGGCTGCTGTATCAAGCATCCTTTCCACCCTTTTTACTACCCGAGCCATACCTAAACGCCTCATCAAAGCTATCATCACCATTTCCATGTTCTGATAGGACCATCTCATTGACACGCAAAGCAAAAAGGGTCAGGCAGAGAAGAGGAAACCAAAGAGTTATCGAGAGGAAGAAGGGCCCTTGCCTACGAAGAGGATGGTATGTGGCGTGCCGCTTACACTCGACCCGACCCGTCACTAACTGAAGCTTATTCAGGACTACACATCCTTCCACGTCGGCGAGAGCCGCACATACCAGGAGATGCGCCAGAAGCCCGCTCCTCAAAACACCTTTTTCAACCTCAAGCAAGAGCCGCAGCAGCATCGGCCGACGTCAGTAGCCACCGAGTTCGTGGACACTGACTGGGATGAAGAGGAAGACGACGGAGAAGTGAGCGAGGCGGAAGATAACTCACCCCGAGTGAGTCTGCAGTCAGTAAGTGGGCTCTCCCTCCTTGTTCTTCGCCACCTCTCTCCATGGAGGCTCGAACTCGATAGCTAACGGCGGCTACTCGCAGTCGGGCCAGCCCAGTTTCACAACCCTCTCTTCGTACGACGAGGTCCCCACTCCTCGCTCAAGTAGAGGCCCCTATGTCTACCTCGAACACTCCCCCAAGCAGGTCGAAGGTCCTCGCGGCCCCCACCTGTTCCAGTCCTCTGCCGACCAGTACATGAGGTACCCGGCAGGCGAAGACGATGTTGTCCTGACCCTGTCGCCCATGACGCCACATGTATCTCGAGACGCTGCATCCCATGGCAAGTCTCGATGGAGCGGCCCTTTCCAATACACCGATGCGGAGCTCGACTTGTCGACGCTGGCATCATGGACGCCCGAGATGGTGGCACAGTCGATGCTCAATGCCGGCATCGAGCTCGCGGTCACGGAGAGGCTCATCGAGAATGATATCAACGGTGCCCTTTTGATCACGCTAAAGTTTGAAGACTTGAAAGAGCTGGACATTCACTCCTTTGGCATCCGGACCAAGTTATGGAACCAGATTAAGCTCCTGTTGGACAGCACGCCCGCGTCGCCCGAGGCGACGACTCCCATTGAGGATAAGCCCAGCCGGGAAGCCAGGAAGGCCATGAAGAAGGATGGCTCCAGCTCGGTGCGGCGCCACGAGAGCAAGCGCAGGGTTCGCCGGGCCAACGATCCCATCACGCCGATGGAGTCGGTATCCATTATTGGGATCGAGCAGGTCATCCCAAAGCCGCACAACTGCTCCAAGGGCGAGAACTGTTCAAAGTGGAGGAAGCAGCAGAAGGCCATCGAGGAGTTCAAGAGGCTGAACCCACACATCGACATCAACAAGGCCGGCGGCGCCGTCCTCGTCTACGGCGACGTGGGCAATCCCGACACAGCCAGGGCCTTGGATCCGAACGAGACGATGCGGCCATTCTCCGACTCGGTGCCGTCCGTGGTGGCGTCGTCCGACATTCTCGGGCCTGGCAACCTGCCACCGTTGCAGTACCTCCAGGAGGCAACCCTTCGGAACTTGCAGGCTCGCGATCCTCAGGACAATGTCCGCCAGTTTCTCAACTTTCAGCGGAACAACATAGTCAGCAACGAGGTGCCGCTCACCCCTCCCTTTGAGGTTACCCCGTCTGCGCAACCTCACCAGGGCTTGCGACGTCTGCCGAAGTTGTCGATCCCTGGAAACTCTCAGCCCGCCGCGCGACAGCCCCCTCCGCGGCCGGCTACTTCACAACCTGTACAGCAACAGCAGCAGCAGCAGCAAGCAGCACGCCGCTCGTCTCCCTTGCAGCAAGAGTTTGTGCCATACCAAATGGACAAGGCTGACCCGCTGTCTCCCGATTTGGAGACGGCGAAGAACCCGTACCGATTCGGCACGCCCTTCTCTGAGATGGACGTTCCCGTCACGGCTGTGCCTCTGGGCCCCGTTGCTCGAGATGCCTCTCAGTCGGTGCCCCCTGACATGAACTATCGGGCTGCGCCCATGGCTGGCCACAACCGGTCCCAGTCGCGGGCCTCTGGCCGCCGTCCGTCATTTCCTGTCATGCCTGCCTTGGACGAGAACCGGGTGACGCGCACGTATCCCAGGGCCTCTTCGCCCAAGACTGCGTCTCCCCGGACTCCAGCTCAGCAACAACAGCAGCCACAGCCACAGCCACAGCACCAGCAGCCTACCCAAGCACCTCCTCGCTTCAACTACCCCTGGTCCCCCGCGGACCGTACCACCTACGAGCAGGCCATTCCTTCCATGCCCCCGCTACGCCCCGGTGAGTCCAGGGAGGCACCGGCCGCCATGGCCTCAAGCGGCATCAGCTTCCAAGGCCCGATGAAGAAGCGCAAGATGCGCATGCTCCGCCACGAGTGGCAGGACGGCTACTTCACCCTCAGGGGCACTCGCCTGAACATGCACAAGGACGCTCAGCAGATGGACCGCACGCTCGAGTACGTCGACATTGACGACTACGCCATCGCGTGCTCCAGCCTGGCCTCGACGTCCAAGCTCAGCGCCGCCTTCAAGGCCGTGTCCATCCACAACCGCGAGAAGAGCGACCCCGTTGGCGCCTTTAGCTTCCAGCTCATTCCCCAGGACAAGAACGGGGCGCGGCTGCGTAAGCGGGACAGCTCTCTTCAGCAGGGCAACGCGCCTGCCGAGGGCGTCAACGGAACGGGCAAGACGCATCACTTTGCAGTCAAGAACCGCGATGAGCGGATTGACTGGATGCGAGAGCTCATGCTGGCCAAGGCCCTGAAGCAAAAGGGCGATGGCTTTGAGATTAGCGTCAACGGTAACATGATTTGAGTACACGACATTATCACAAAGACACACTCACAAATCCCGTTCCATATCCTTTTGTTGGTAATTTTTTTCGAATCTTGTTTGCTTTCTGGAATTGACTGGTTTTTTCCCCTGTCCTCCTGTTATAACGACTCTCCTTTGTGTTTTTAACGAAGAATGATTTATGACCTGTTTACTGTCCTTTCATTCCTTCCCCCCCTTCTCTCATCTCAATCTTCTTGGATTCGTATTATATATCCCCTTCTCCCGCTGAAGAGTCCCACGCGCAGCCAGACTGCGCCTTTTTGCTCCCAGCTGTTGTTCCACTTCTCCGACATTCACCTTCTCTTTCCCTTCACTTCTTGCATACAAACAGATGGACGAAAAGAAAGACGATATATACATTGGCGAGCGAGACGCAAAGAGAGAGTCTGATACCGATTTCTTTGTTTACTACCTGTTACTTTGGAGAGTTCAGATTGATGATACCTTTTTCATTATTGCGGTTGTTGTTGGGTTTTATGTGTTAGAAAGAAAGATTGTGTCCTTCAGGGGATTTCGAACGTGGGAAGAAGAAGAAAACAAAAAATTGCGTTGGGCCAGGTTTGGGGTGATTATCTTGATCTTGAGAGAGTATAGGTAGTTGAAGTAGTTGGTTTACAGAAAATCGAAGCAATAACACTGACGATTGCAATAATGGGATTGATTGGAATTCTTTTAGTGCACAACTTGACTTGTTTCTTTTTGTGACGTGTGGATGTTTTGCGACGCTTGCTGTCTCGCTGCGTTCATATTGTCTTTGTTGCATCTGTGTCTAGATAGTTGTTGGTATATCTTTACAGGCATTTTGCGAACACGTCACACATGATTCTATGACATGGGTGTCAGCTTTCTAATTGACTACCTAGTAGCTCTATATCGAGCATGGCATGTAGAACCATACGGTATGTAGCATAAATACACGATTCATCGTTCCGCATCAACTGCCGGAGGCTCAACCAAGTATATTGTAGGGTAGTGTCCTGCGTGATACAAGCGACAGGACACTTCATCAAACACAACTCACAATCACCCACCTCATTGCTGTTTTTTTTTTTTTTTTTTTTTTTTTTTTCCAACAAGAGCATCTTCTTCTCTAGTCAGTATATGTATACATACCTATACAGCACCTTGACACCTATCTTACATCTTCCAGCCAGAGACGTTCTTGACACCAAGATATTCCAAACATCCTTCCCTGGTGCTGAGTACGCTGAGCGGACTGTATCCTTTTCCGTTTTCCATATGACATATATACGTGTTTTCCCGTCTCCCTCCTTTGCTTGCTTGTCTCTCTCGCCCCCCCCCCCCCTTTTCTTGGTTTTCAGTTTCCAGCTCTCTCTTTCTTTTCTTTTTCCCACCCTTAATCATACAATCATCCTACTCAAGGAGAATTCTCCGTCATAAACTCAGGCCGCACCGTGCCCGCCCTCTGATGCACCTTTTCCCAATCCACCGAATTCCACCAAGCATCGACATACGCAGCCTTGCCGCCCTTGCCATCGACGCCCATCCCCCAGTCGAGCAGCCAGGCGTGCTCCCACGTGTTGAGGCACAGCAGCGGCTCGAGCTCGATTCCTCCGGGCGGCAAGTCGCCCGTCCTCCTCCTGCCGGCGCCGAGGAGCTGGTTCCTGAGAAAGGGGCGCGCGGAGCCGTCGTTGCCGACCGTGTTCATGTCGGTGGACTGCATGCGCCAGTGGGCGCCCGGATAGGGGGAGCCGGCGAGGTAGGTGGGCAGCAGGCGGTAGTCGCCGGGGCCGGCCTTGACGAGCCAGACGAAGCCCGGGCCGAACATGGCGGAAGCGGTGACGATGAACTCGAGGCGCAGGGAGTCGATGGAGGAGAAGGAGGCCTCGAGCTCGCGGCGCAGGTCGTCGGGCATGGGCGTGCCGCCGGGGGCCAGGCCCTGGAAGAAGAAGTGGTTGTTGTGCGCCATGGAGGCGTGGTTGAAGATGGGCGCCTGGTTGGGCTCGCGGGCCGTCATGAGGGCGATTGTCTTGGCGTCGTGGCTTTCGAGCTCGGTGCCTGGAGGAGGAGGAGCGAGAATCAGCCTGTCAGAATATATATGTCTTGTTGCCATTGGGTTTTTCATGATACAGGTGTCATGCAAAAAGACTCACCAGCAATCATGGCGTTGAGCTTGTCCAGGGTGACCGTCATGTAGTCCGTCCACGCCAGGGCAAAGCCGCCGGGGCTCATCAGCTTGGGCACGCCCTGGGAGAAGTCGTGCGGCAGCGAGGGCACCGAGTGCAGACTCCTCCTGGCGCTGAAGCCCTTGCCGTTGGCGATGCTGTTGATGGTGTTGAAGCTGCCATTGGAGCTGCTGCCGTTGGCGGATGCGCGCAGGTTCAGGGCCAATGCCTGCCGGGGCGTCCGCAGCAGCCGTGTGCGGAACATGGCGGGCTGGAGGATGTGTGTGATATATACAGGAGAGAGAGAAGAGAGAGGTTGGTGGGAGGAGGGCGCTGGTGCTGAGGAAGGCCGAGAGAGAGGAGGAGGGTCTTTGGTCGTGATGCTTCAGAACCCGGCCCTCTCGAACTTTTTCCCGCCCACTGCAGTTCGTTCGATTACAGTAGTAGAGTGCCCCACCATGCGATGGGAAGGGTACTTTGTCCTTTGTAAGGTAGATGTACCTTAGGTACCTACTAACGTACCAAGCACCAGCCACCTCCAATGGCACTGATTGCACCAGCCACATCTTGTGTGGTCCGTTACAGACGGTTGATTACATAATACATGATCGGAACATTTTCTCGCCTCCTGGTTGGCTCATCTCCGCACACATACGAGCTTGTATCTCCTACCCCCGTCTCGCACCTTGCCTAATACGAGACGCCCGGTCCCCGATACTCTCGGCAGGCCTGACGCCTGAAATCAAGGCGGAATCAATCACAGACGGCCAGTGATGTAACCGCGACCAAATCCCACGCCCTGGCTGCGTTTCAACCAGGTCCCTTTTTTTCCTGCTTGGCCCTGCATCTGCCTTAACTTTTCATCTTTTGCTTCTCTCCGCATTACTACGAACTTGATCTTCCTTGTTTAACTGTATGAACTGCATATATCGTGCTGCAACGACAACCCCGGATCAGCACTCAAAATTCACAAAAAAGAGCCTTTCCTGATCCTGGGGGGCTCCCGTGACGATCATCGACTCTCGTCCCGTGCCTCACCAGAAACTGAGACTCTGCTCCGCCACTTCAGCTGCAGCGATACGCCAAGAGCCTTTGTCCTACCCTTCTCCCCCCCTCCGAAATCGCGACATCATACTCTTCTTCTCCTTCTCCTTCTCCTTCTCCTCTTCTTCTTCCGATTCCTCCTCTCTCCCCGCCCCCAGGCATGCAAGTCGCTCGTGATGCGGCGATAGGAGTCGACATTCCTACTCCCGCCCTCCTCACCACCGCCACAACAACAATGGCCTCCCTCGCAACCGCAACATCAGCCCTCGCCGCGGCCACGGCCAGCGCCTCCGCCAGCAGCAGCCCCTCGGGGCCCTTCCACATCGACGCCTCGCAGGGCGAGTGCCAGCTGCTGGGGCCCTTTGCGCTCGTCGTCCAGGCGGCGCTCGGCGGCCTGGCCATGCTGTCGCTGGTCTACAAGCGGTGGAGGGAGCACCCGCGGCGGCCCGTCAAGGTCTGGTTCTTTGACGTCTCCAAGCAGGTCTTTGGCTCCGTCCTGGTCCACGTCTCCAACATCTTCATGTCCATGTTGACCAGCGGCCGCTTCTCCATCAAGGTCGAGCCCAGCGTCGTCGAGCGCCTCGTGGTGGCCAGAGGCGACGACTACGTGCCTAACCCGTGCTCCTTCTATCTCTTGAACCTGGCCATAGATGTAAGCTTACGCCCCCATCACACTCCAAGTTAATACAGCAAACGCGACATGCGCATACTAAAACAACCGCTCGTTAGACAACCGTCGGCATCCCCATCCTCATCGTCCTCCTGCGAATCTTCAGCGCCCTGGCCTCCTTCACCCCGTTCGGCAAGCCCGCCGAGTCAATCCGGTCGGGCTACTACGGCAACCCCCCCAACGCCTGGTGGTGGCTCAAGCAATCCGTTATATACTTTGCCGGCCTCTTTGGCATGAAGCTCTGCGTCCTCGTCATCTTCATCATGATGCCCTGGATCTCGCAGGTCGGCGACTGGGCGCTTCGGTGGACCGAAGGCAACGAGAAGCTGCAGGTCGCCTTCGTCATGATGATCTTCCCCCTCATCATGAACGCCCTGCAGTACTACATCATCGACTCCTTCATCAAGGGCAAAGAGATGGATCACGAGCTGCTCCCGTCCGAGGACCATGACGACGATGACGACGACGACTATGAGAGGAGGGGCGCGGGCTCGGGCAGCATCAGCTCGGACCAGGACGAGACCCCCGTCAAATTCAACGGACGCTCGCGCAACGGCGACGAAGAGTACGATCCAGACGTCGACGGAGACGCTCCCACGATTCACGGCGGCAGCTCCAGCCGACCCGGATCCAAACCAACCGGAGTTTCAGTCGATTTGTTTCCCAAAGAGTAGCTCGCACGCCTCTCTTGTTAGACTTTGACTCGCAACAACACACATTGTTTGTACATACACGGCCGTTCCATCATCGCTTGGGTTGTCTTTCTTTTGCTCAAGAAAGAGCTTGTTTGCTGGTTTGCCTCATCATGGATCCTTTTGTTATTCTCGGCGCTGGAGAACTGTTTTGGCGGGCGCACATCATTCTGGGTCGAAAATTCATTCGCTTGTCCTTTTTCTGGGTTTCTTTCCCCTCTACGTTATTCTTTTTTCGCTCCTGTGATTCTTGCAGTTTGGTTCGACTACGATTGTGATACAGCATAGAAGCGACTTTGGAGAAACAATACACGGTCTCAACATTTTCATATCCCATTGAACATATCTCATCCGATCAATTCCTCGCTACTCCTCCGTCCCCCATCTGCCCCCCCACCGGTCACCACGTTTCTCTCGTCCCATCTTCGTCGTCCCATCCAATGTTCTTGTACCGTATTCTGCGGGCCACGTCCTCAACAAACAGCTTACGCTGGGCGGATGGTTTAGTGGTATAATTTTCCCTTAGCATCGTCAGTTCTAGTTTCCACGAAATTAGTTCTACCGCCTGGGAAAGGTCCGGGGTTCGATTCCCCGTTCGTCCAATACAAGCGTTGAAGTGTTCCCATGGAGCCATTTCTTTTTTTTTCCTTTTACTTCTTTTTTGCTCTTTTTGGCCTTTTGCTGGCTTGTTCACCTGTTCTTTATCTCTCGGTCCTCATGTGAAATGTGCGTTATTGCTTCTGTGCCTTTGTGTTTCCCGCAGAATGTGGGCGGATATCACAAGTGCGAGGCCGGCCATCAACGTAAGCGGTGAATGAAAAAGGCTCAGTTGGACAGCTTCACAACTTCTTCGCATCGTATAGTGACGCCAGCTCCAATCAATTCATGTCATACAATGAAAACACCAATACTTCTTATTCGTCATCTTTCCGAAAAAGGGTCAAGGCAAACCATGCCTCTCAATGAACGTAAAGGAGAAAAAAAAAAGAAACAACCCGAGCAGGTAGATCCAAGCAATACCGTCATTATATGTGCAAGATCCAAACACCCAAACATCAGCCAACAGGAAAAGAAAAAACACCCCTGTACCTCTAAATAGCGACTGATTCGCCTTTTGATAAACGCCACGCAACCAAATGTCGTCAGGAACATGATACACCGCCATACTTGCTACAGATCAAACATCAAGATTCAATCACCAAACTCGCCGTTGCTCTCTAAACACCGCTCCAGTTCTGTGGTGACGGGCTGTAAGGCTTGTAGCCGGGGTATCCCTCATTGTCCTCACGCTCGTGGGACTCGCTCGGGCGACGGTCGTAGTTTGGTCCCTCTTGATGCTGAGGGCGAGAGTAGCCCGAGCTAAAGTCGAACCCCGAGTTGTTGACAATGGGAGACTGAGGGGGTTCCTGCAGAGCCTTAGGAGGTGCTGGAGTATAAGTCCTGAACGGCACCGGCTTGTTCTGAGGGGCAATGGCAAAGTCATTGGGAGGAGCTGGCGAAGTCCGTTGGTTGAGGCCCGGGCCTGGGGACTTCCTCATGAGCGGATCCACGCCGTAGGAATCAGGCGAGGTGTGTCCATCGAGCTCCTGCGGAGCAGTGGGCATGTGTGCCGGGCCTGGAGTCATCTGCCTCGGGACGCCGAATCCGTTCTGGCTGGAGGTGGGCGACTGGTGTCCGGGACTCATCAGGCTTGCGGCAGGGGCTGCATGGTCGTAGGGTTGGTGAGCGCCATATCCATCCGCCATATGGTTATTGTAGGCTTGGTCGTGTCCATTGTAGTTGACATCCTGTGCGCCATAGCCCTGCTGATGTCCGTTAAGCCCTTGATCATGTCCGCCAAAGGCTTGGTCGTGTCCGCCGTAACCCTGGACATGTCCTCCATAGGCTTGCTCGTGCGCACCGTAAGCATTGGCGTTGTAGCCCTGATCATGTGCGTTATAGCCTTGATCATGGGCACCGTAAACCTGATCGTGGGCGCCATAGCCTTGATCGTGAGCGCCGTAACCTTGCGCTTGGGCACCAAAACCTTGACCCTGCGCACCGTAGGCCTGATCTTGAGCAGCATAGCCCTGGTCGTGGGTAGCATAACCCTGATCATGACCCCCGTATGGGTTAGCGGGCTGCTGGCCGTAAGGGTTGCTAAACCCGGGAGAGTTGTTCTGTTGACGATTGTACGGGTCATTTCGTCCCATAGGGCCCTGCTGCTGCTGGGGGCCTCGCTGCTGCTGCTGTGGTCCGCCGTACCTGGGGCTGTTTATGGCCTGGGCTTGCTGAGGAATAGGCTCTTTCTTGGGAGGCAAATCGTCCATTTCGACCTCCTCTTCGAGCACAATCTTCTTCGAATTGGCAGATTCCCAGCTTGGCATAGCCGGGAGCGCGTCAGCATCCTGCTTGGAGACATCAAACTCGGCATACTGCGGAGGCCCGTGGGACGCGGCCGGAGCAAAGGCGGGCACTGGCGCAGGCGCCGGCACGTTAACTGCCATGGGTGCCTCCTGGCGATAACCTCCGTAGCCGGATTGCTGGGGGTTGTACGGTTCATCGAGATGCTTGCGGGACTTTCCACCGGGAGTATCGCAACAGCCGCAGCAATTTCCGCAACATTTGAGGCAGTAACAGCATGAACAACAGCATGACATGCCAAGACAAGTGCATCGAACGATGCAGACGATGAGGCTGATGAGAATAAGACCGCCGACAACCATGATTGCAATAGCAGGCCACCTGTCGAAAGGTTAGTATCGCCATCTACCAACAAACCGCGCCGCGATGCTGCAATGAGACTGCTACACTTACTTGCAGTAGAGGTGAGCCATACAACCATCCCAGCTGGAGAAGGTCTGCTTGATCTCAGAGACTTTGTCGCCGGCATCGGCCACGATGTCTCTTCTCACGACTTCAGCGGTGAGGCTCCTTGCCACACTGTCCACTATATTCTCCCATATCCCGCCGCGAAGGCTCCGGACCATGGCAACGTCGACCGCAGGCATTGTGAATGATTTGACTTGTGTCTTCGAAATGCTTGGCCGTCTGCCCGTGGAAGGTGGATGATTTCGAAATGTTGTAGCTTGGAGTAAACGGTTGACTTTTGCGAACAATCGGACGTCTAAGTCATGCTCCAATTGGCGTTCCTTGAAAGCGAGATTACCAAGACAAGAGTCTGCGACTTGGTCGGTTATCAGCCGTAAGGGGGGTCGATATCAGGTTTGATATGCGTGTCCGATAGTGTAATGCAAACAGTATGCCGTGATCTCGTAGGTCGTAAAGAGTAAAGAAGCAATGCGCTCCAGAAGTAGAGAAGGATGGCCGTGATATCAACAGAGAAACAGCTTATGATAAACGGACCACCCAACGCTGGCGTCGCAAAACCAAAGAATCGAACGTTGGTCGGAACAAAATCACCACGATAAAGAAAAAAAAAAAGAGAGGGTGTTGCTGGTCGTGTATCTCGTTACACCAGCGAAAAAGTAATCAGCGTAAAATTACCCCTGGCAAACGAGACCGCCAGAGATTCGTGTCGTAACACGGATAGAGAGCAAGTTTCCTCTCCCGTGAAGAAGCAAGGATCGTAAAGGCCGCCGAGACGGATAGAATGAGAGGATTGGGTCGCAATGGCCCGCGCGTAATGGACGAAAACTCGAGGTTTGTAAGAGAGAGCGATGGGCTGTGCAACAGAGAGCGTCGCTTCGTCGCAGCGAAAGGAGCGCGCTTCTTGAAGGAACGGAGACGCTGACGAGGCCGCAGTCGATTCAGCGCGCGCGCACTCTGTGTCTTTTTCTGTCGTCCGTGGACCGTCGAGGTGTCGATTTCGCTTCAGATTTGTTCTTCCCAGGGAACGTAAAAATGAGGGGGTTGGAAACTCAAATCAAAGACGAGTTTCCTCTAGAAGAGAATGAATGATTGCGGCCGTTGACGCAGGGGGCCGTCGAGGCAAAAAAGCCAAAAAAGGAATGAAGCCTGGGAAGAGGCAGAGATGGTTGGGTGAAGAAGGAGAGAAAAAGGACGGACAGGCAAGGGATGGACAAGAACAAAACTCATCCACGACGATGTCGTTTTCCCCACCAGAGAGAGAAACAGGGGACAAACAGACAGACGGCCGGAGAGAAGAGAGAGAAAAGAGAGAAAGAGAAAATTAATCTGGAGTCAGCTATCGTGCCGCATTGTCCGGCGTGGGAAGGGGCGCCTGTCGCTCCAGCCGTTTATCACGCATATGCAATGCAGGGAAGGCGCAAGTTGGAAACGTGCCTTGCAGGGGCAGAAGGAGCGAACTTGCTGGGGTCGAATGCTGGTAGCCGGTACCTGTCTGGAGCGTGTGATGATGCCAGTCGTGCCCTGTACTGGATACAATTTTGGAAGTGGGCGGCTGATGTCCCACTGGAGTTGGAACTGAAAGACGCGGTTCAGTGGGAGTTACAGCACTACTGCTAGGTAAGGTACAGTGGCGGGTCGGGCTGCCAGCACTAAAAGTGCACCTAAAGTCAGGTACCCGAGCCGAGCACTTCTCGCAATCTCGACCCGCGTTTTTGACAGCCCCCGTGAGAAGCTGATTGACGAGAAGCTGGGTGAAGAAGAAGCAGATCCACCGTCATCACAGTAAATAAGCATCGGCAGACCTAGAAGAGATGGAACAATGCAAGGCGGGATGTCGACGTCATCTCCATCGGCATGATTCTCACAATCAAATACTACCTAGGTAGATAGTAGGGAGAAGTAGAAAATGTGTGTACAGGTACTACCTAGGTAGGTACCTAGGTAGGCTACTTAGTAGGTAGGTTCTCGAGTGTGAATAGCGACCCGTACGGAGTCAACTGGCCGTGAGAACCCCTGCAAATTTATCGTCTCATCGGAATCTGGCCTCACGCCAAGAACGGGTACTACGACTTGGCGCCAGAGGATCCCAATTCGCGAAAAAATGGGGGGTCGGTCTCTCTGCTCTACTGGTAGCATCGTGGGGATTTGACATGTTGAAAGCGATTCTTCTTTCGTTTTCCTTTTCCATTCCTTTTTCCTTCTCTGCTGCTACAATACTAATATCACAACAGGTTGCCCCGTAGGAGGTAGTAAAGTTGTTCCCTACTACTTGGGATCTCCCCCAATTCAACCCTCAGTTTATTCGCTTTCAACCCCAGACCATCATTCTCTCTCAAATCCTCAGCCAATACCTACCTTCTAAGCCGCCTCTCAGTGCCTCCCTTCCTCCCCCCTGATCCTCCTCAGCTTCTCATCCATCCAAACAAACGCCCCTCAGCTCCCAGCCGTTGCGCGCGCGCCCCGGGCCGTCCTTCCGGGCCAACTCCAAGGCCGCCCTGAACGCCTCCAAAACAGTTCCGTGAATATAGTACTACTAGTAGATTACCCACACACACAGCCCAACATCTTTGACCGGTCCTGTAAAAAAAAAAAAAAGCAAAGAAACCCAGAATCTTGCTCGGGTCATTTGTAATGACTCCCTTGCAGCGACTGAAAACCACCTAGCGCTCGACGTGCTGAGCATGATTTCAAGCTCATACATGTGGTATTACCTAGGTACTGTGAACCGTACATGTATGTGACATGCACAGCATCGATTCCATACACACCTGCTAGCAGAGTAGGTATTACCTGATAGAACTTGGCTGGCACGCAAACCCCGCCTCTGTGCCGCAAGAGGCCTCCCGGTTAGTCTTGGCTGTTGGCAGTGCCGATTGCAAAGAACAACGTGAGAGCATCACAATCTCGTCTGTTTGAGATCTTCAAGCGAACCAAAGGCAGTCATACATAATACGTGTGCAAGGAAATTTGAATGACTTTTGAAGGCATGCATATTAAAAGTCGACTATCGTATGTGGAAAAGAATATGCCACGTCCAAAATATGAGAAAAAGAGAGAAGAATAAAAAGAGTAGCATTCACTTTGAGGCGAGGCATCTCAGCCACATCTCAAATGATTATCGATCGTCCGTACCGCATCAAGACCAAAACAAAAAGCAAACGTGGATATCAATCCTCCATCCATCCCTAGGCCCAACCGAAACGCCGGACCAAGCCTTCCGATGTATCCCCTTGTTTTTCTGTCTTTTCTTTTCTGTCTCCTTTGTATATCCCCCGAGGTATCATATTATCAATCAGCCTGCACGTACTCCTAAGCCGTCGTTTACTTTCCAGGAGGAGGTCCCGCAGGAGGCTGGTAGTGAGCATCAGGCTGGTACGCGCTCTGAGGCGGCTGAACACCGTACTGGGGCTGGTTGGTGTAATATCCATCATTGGCGTTGAACGTCGTGCCCGTCGTCTGATTGCCCACGGGCGGCTGGCCATAGGGCGGGGGGCTGGTGTAGCCGTATCCTTGACTGTAGTCGCCCTGGCCCTGATTGTAGCCGCCCTGGTTGTATCCAGACTGGTAGTTGTTCATCTCGTGGCCGTTGTTGGGCTTGTTGCCCGAGGGCCGTGTGCTGCTACCCAGCCAGCCGGTTCCGTACATGGGCTGGACGCCGCGTCTACGGTTCCGTCGTGTAATGCAGCTAATATTGCGATCGAGTCAGTAAATCAGGAATTCATGTGCGATGATGGTGGTAGTGAGGGGGGAGCTCAGTCAGGAATTGCTTACAGGCAGCTAGCCAAGAGAATCAATGCCAGAACGATGGCGATGCCGGCGAGCACCCATCTGCCCCAAAAGTACCAGCCGCTCCTGCGCCGACAACCGAATCCATCGTAATAGTAGCCGTATCCGCAGATGCTATCTCGAGCGAAGAGGTCCATTACTGGCGCCATGCCTGCTGGATAAATAAAGGGAGGATGCCAGAGAGAGAGAGAGAGAGAGAGAGAGAGAGAGAAAGGTAAGAGTTGCGTCGCCGACCTCGACAGGTCGATGGAATCAGCAATAGAGAACCCAAGTGTCGTCGTCACTTGTTGTGAATGTAGGTCCGGTCGCTTTGCTGTGGGGATCGCCTTTCAATGATTGTTTGCGATGCACAGCGATGCGCGATAGTAGGTAGATTGAAAGAGTGGAAGAAAAGGGGGGAGAAAGATGAAGAGTAAAAGGAAGAAGTGAGGAGGTGGTGCGTGTGTGTGTGTGTGTGTGTGTTAGGTTTGCGAGGGAGGAAATGGATTGCAAGAGCTTCTCAGAAAGTCTGTTGGTGGCCGGTGTGTCCTGTTTATGGCCCTCCTGCTGCTGTTTGTCTCACTGGGCACCTGCGCTTTCCTTGAGTGTCCGCCCGCTCTGTGACTCGTCTTGTATGACGTTGGAATCCCTGCGCTGAATCAAGGCCCCGCTTTCCGAGATGGCGCCACACTTGCTCAATTGAGTGCTTTAGGTAAGCAGTTTAATGAATATGGTTGAAGACGGTACTAATAGCAAGCCAGTCAGCGAGAAGAAGAAAAAAAAAAACGGTGGAAAAAGAGAAAAGCCAAGGAATATATACTCTTGGATCGTTTGATTCTTTCATCACATTATTGTTGAAGCGCCTTGGCAACACCTCAAGTCCAGCTGTGTTGCAGTGTCGCCAAGTCGCCAAGTACCTTACCTTACGTACATACGCACGCAAGACAAAGGCAGCAGTGCCACCTCACCAACCCGCCACCAAAAGTCACTGGATACATGGAAGCACTGCCCGCCTGCCCACCGCATTGACACCCCTGTAGCGTTGCTTATTCCTGACGGTTTCCAGTGTGTCGCAGCCGTGACCTTTTGCTGCATTCTGGGGGGGACCAGGGCCCATGTCGGGGTCTGACAGTTTGGGTCAACATCAGCAAGTGCTGGAATCATCCAGCAAACCGCCTTTGCGCAGCCGAATAAATGCAAATACTACCATCCATACCGCCAGCGTCTGGTGCTGTCGAGGTTATACTGATAGTAGGCACATGCAGGCAGGACATGAAAGCACACCACTGCCACGACGCAGCAGCGAGCAGCCCAACACGGGCTTGGCTTCTGCCACCTGCAGAAAGCATCCGATTCGAACACTGCAAATCACGGCATCGCGCACTGCAATATTACACGCCAAACGACAAGCGCATCTGGTCAAGCACCTAGGTAGCTCTTCTACGAGTAGGCACCGGCAAGCACCAGTACATTCAGCATACTACTACCTCAAAATCAAGAACGTCCATCATCAACCATCAACCTCCTCCTCATTCTCGTCTCTTCTCCCCATCATGCAGTGAGTGAGTGGCTGTGCAACTCACCCACCATCCAATCAGCGCCCAGCGGGAAACAGAAGCTCTCCTCCCCCCTCCCCAAAGCCCGGATTTTGCCTGGGTGGATCCAGCTCCGAAAAGTGGCGCTGCCTTTTTCCGATCCAAAAGAGTACTAGACTAGTAGTTGTTCCAATTGTCAGTTGCAGTTTTGCGCATGTGAGAACCGCCGCAGACGGAAAAATCGGGCGATAAATGGAAGCGTTCGTGTTGTCTTGTTGCACCTCTTTGGGGGTCTTTTTTTCTAGAAGACTGCTCTGACTGCTTCTGGGTGGGATGCTGACATTGGCTGAGCCTTCGCGTGGCATGACAAATCCTTTCAAATTTGTACAGTATGTACGGAGTAGTATTCCATGCATCAATATAAGGTACCTTTTATCTGTCTCTCAACTTCTGTCTCTCTCAGTAAAAGCCACTTCGTATCAATTTTCGAGGTGGTTCAAACACGGTCAGTACGGCGCCCATTCGTGTTGGTATTTGAACGAACCGCCTCAAGGCACTACAGCCAGCCAAAAAAAAACTCTATCAACCATTCCCCCTCTGACAAGTAGTAGTAGTAGTAGTAGTACCTAGTAGTATCATCCAAGCCCAGCCGCATGACGCGTGAACGAGCCCTGGCGCAACGCCTTCCCGGCTCTGCCCGTATCCCAACAACTGGACTTGTCCTGACCTGACTTCCCGTCGCTGTAAGCTGTTCTGTTCCGGGTTCGCCTACCAAGGGGGATCGCATCAGACTTGCTGACCTCCTGACTCGCTGCGGCTGTCACTGGGATGGGAGTGCCAGAAATCTGAATTATTTGCGAGCACTACCTAGGTACCTAGATGTGCACATGTAGCCCTGGAGCTGTTATCCCAACCCGAACAAGGCACACACAGAAGTCGTCAGCGAAACGTTATTCCGTCATGCCCCAATCCAGACGTAGGCAATCCGTCACAATTCAATCATGGACCATCTTACATCCTCCCCCCCCCCCCCGAATCTTTACTCCAACCCAAGCCTCCCATCATCTGACCGCGTGCTGCTTTAGCCACAAGGCACAAGGCACAAGGCACGGCTTACCTCGCCATGATACCCCCTTCCTGTACATGACTTTGTAGAGTTGTAGAGGTAGAAGAAGAACATCGTAATCCTTCCCTCACGAGGCAGCAATACGCCGTCTCGTCAAGCGTATTCTAGAAGCCCGTATACGCACTCTCCCGTAGCATACGTGGTCAACTTACCATTATATATATATGTATGGATGTATCCTGCATCAACCTCGTTATTCTCTCCAAATCATGGAGTCCATGGCCTCACTTTTCTCAATACTGAAAGCAATGGGAAAATCCCTCATCCTCTTATTGCATCCGGGCCGACACCGAATCATCCGACGCCGCAGCAGCCCGGGTTATTCGGCGTCGACCTTGTCCAATACAGGTATTCATACATCGCGCGGGGTAATGTGAGGCTCTGCTGGACGTTAGCAGTCACATTTACTCCTGTCATTCAGGTAATGGCGACATCCAAAGACGTGGTCGGGGTAGTTTGAACGCTGGAAATAGCAATGCCCGTTGTATTAGTTGTCTTATATTGTACAAGAGCACCCGTATGCGCTCGGCCAAAAAGGTTGGGTGGACAAGCCACAAATTAGAGAGTCGTCCCGTCATTCTCTCTGAGCGACGAAAGTAAAACAAGGCAATAGGGGATAACAAAACGATACCAAGCGTCGGCCGACGGCGCGAACGAGGCAAACAAGACGCCGTTCCTCCCAAGACTCCGTGCTGGATCCGCTAGCAAAGGAGAGTCATTACAAAGGAAACTGTCCCTTTGCCGTATACTCAGAAACCCAAGAACATCATCCAAGAATGCCAAATAGAAAAAAGGAGAAAAAAAAAAGACCAGAAAGGAGGGTATAACAATAAACTCCGCCAAGCCAAACTCTAGCTGTTCCCCTGGCTGGGTTGGCTTCCTCATCCGCCGTGAGCATACCGTATGATTTTAGGGTTATAGGTTGTTTCGAATGACAAATGCAGCATCGTAATTGCTTTTGGCGCTATGTCTTCCCGCGGGAAGGTTCGAAATGGAAAACGCCGAAAGCGTGGCATATCATGCCTTGGGGAAAGAATATCGGTTTCGTCGCATCTCTTCGGCCTTTTTCATGTTGAGCTCGGCGAACTGCTGGGCTTGCTGCCTTGCAGCCAAGGCGTTGATCTTTTCGCGCGCTCTGATGAGGCTGCTGTTGTCCTGTTGCTTGAGCTTCGCGCGAATGTTATACAGGGCCATGAGCGTGTTGGCTCGTTCGAGATCTTCTTCATACTAAAGAGAAGCAGGCATGGTCAGCTGGTGTTCGCATACGAGACAGAAGAAAAGCAATGCGATTCATCTCCTGCTGGCTCTTGGGGAGAAGGTGGCGCATCTTACATTGGAAGGTTGGGGCGTGCCAGGCGAGGAGTTGGCCGCTGATCCAGACTTGGGCGAGCTGATGAGGATGCGCCGGCCCATCTTGTCAAACTTGGGCTGCATGGCGGCTTCAGAGGACCATGCGCGCCTCAGGCCAGACGAGGGCCTCTGCTGCTGTTGGGAGGGAGCTGGGGAGTCGGACTTTGGGAACTCGGCCTGGATGATGGGGAGGTTGGCGTTGACAATGGCGGCAGCAGCCTCAGGTTCCTAAAGCAACAGCGGTTAGAACAGAAAGATTTGGGAAGGCGTCTCTGGTGAGACATACAGCTGCGCCGAGATTGCTCAAGTCGGCGAGGACCTGGGACAGCTGCAGGCTCTCCATTGCGAAAGGGAAGCAGCTCGTTTCTCTTTCTTCAGATTCTTCTGTCGGGCGATAATTCTGTATTATCGGGGCGAGGGATCTAGAGGCGCGCGCTGGAGTCGGCCAATCTTGATATTGGAGCTCCTCCTAGCGGGCGCATATACGACGGAGCAAGAGATCGCGTGTGCGGCGAACAGAGTCGGTGCAGAGGGTTTGGAAGAAAAAAACGCTGCTGCGTCTGGCACTTATCGATGGGAGGGGGAGAGCAAAGATTTGGTCGAAGCGGGCGAGAGCAAAAAGCGGACGAGGGCTGAAGAAGGATGGAGGAAGAGGGAGAAGTAAGAAACAGAATAAGAAGGAGGAGGAGAAGGAGGAGGAGGAGGAGGGTAAAAGCAAAGCGAGGCTGGACGAGGAAGAAAGTGGCCGAAAAGTCTAAAGACGGGGAAACTGGTAAGAAAGTCGTCAAGGTCAACTGCTGAAAACAGGAAGCCTAGAGCGGGGATCCGGCAGCTCGCCACCGAATCTGGCCGTGGAAACTCTGCAGCCGACGTCCATGGCGGCACTGTGGAGGCTTCCATCCACTGTCTGGTCCCATCAATCCATGCTGCGGGGATTGATCAATCCCTTGGGGGGGCCCTTTTCCGGGGCATCCTTCTGGTTCATTACAGCAGGGTCAGCGCCTGTCGCAAGGGCCGTCAGAGCGCTAGAAGCCCGCTAACAAGGGAACATTTGAACTCGGACACCCCTGCTCGCTGCTCGCTGCTCCGTGCGTCCCCCCCCAAGGCCCACAAATCCCGCGTGGGCGTCTCCCGCACTTGATTGATTGATCCGCGTCGCATCAAACTGCGTCTTGATTACGAAACAATCGGCGATGGAAGGCAGATCTTGTTGATACATTAGGTAGTTGTACACACACTTGTAACGACTTCAACTTCTCATCATCGAGATGCAGCAGTGACTCTGCGTCACCAGACTTACGCCCAGCGCCCTTGCACAAGCACAGCCTGTGCAGCCGCTTGCCTGCACCTACAAGCTGTTTTCACTGGTTGCGGCATCACGGCACAGCAGCTCTAGCCGACGCGCAAGGGATCATGGATCCTACCGCAGGGAGCCTACTTTACCTCTACTATCTAGTTGTCGACGGCTATTACCTTATTATTACCAGCCCAGTCCATTCAGTACATACGAGCGCGGCAAGAATACGAGCAGTCACCACCTTGCCTTTTATCTAAGGAACAGTTAGGTACAAGTGTTCACACTGCGGCAGTTGCCGTGCTGCCTCTCAATCAATTCAAGCAAACTCGACCAAGACAACTTGTCAGTGGATGCCTTTATGGATATGTAATCACTGCGCAGCGATTCGCCCAGAGCACGAGACCACCTGCCTTGCCTGTGTTTCTTGTGTACATGTACCTGAGTACTCCGTCATAAGGTACGTTCTTACGTGCAGTGTTCAAAGCAGATGAACAGCACAGAATAAAGTGTCAAGGAGAGGCTGTAGTAATGCAAACCCTCAGCTGACACCGCTGAATGAACGCTGACAAGCCGCAAACCTGATTTTTCCCTTTTAATATCTCCCCCTTCAATTCATCCGGCCTCTCCCAAACCCTCCTCCCATCTATCCGGCGCTACAACTGACGCCCGACACAGAGCCGGTACCTCTCCCACACTCGTGCCACCAAGCAGGCACTCCCACCGTGTCCATTTTATCCGGGCTCTCAATTAACAAAGGAGGCAAAAATGGCAACAATCTACATACTGCTGATGTTGCATGCAGATTGATTCAGATCAGCAGCCTTCCCCCTCACCACCAAAAAGTTGACCCTGCATAAGGTACACTCAAATGTATGTACCACGCGCCGCTACAACCTTTGTAGTACCTTATCTGCATTGATGTTGACATATATAGGTAGTTATCAGGTTATGTATTCAACTTGCTTCCATCGCATCTTTCTTCTAATATTGCTTGCGATTTCATCCACCGCTGCAAGTTGCTGGCTTTTTCTGTGCTGACATCAGCGTCAGAAAGCCTCCCCCATCTGTTACCTACCTAGGTAGGTAGTGCCAGCGCAACTGGGAGCCCTTGCTTCATACAGTATGTGTGACGAAAAGACTCACAAGCACTGTCCGTTCTGAACACGAAGAATTGCGCAGTGAGATTGAGATTGTGTTGATGGAAAGCGGGCTTGATGGTTCACTGGCCTCGTTTGACGAGTTTGTTAAATCATGTGAGATTGAATGGGCGGTTGAACAACCCTCTCCCGTCTGCTTTTTGGAACTCTCGAGATGCGAATGCCTGCCCATTCACCGAATTGAGCTCATCTCTAATGTCTTTCAAAAGCTTGCCATGTGTAGAGTCGTTTCATATATCCTCGTATCTGTCTCTAAGGACCAGCGTGTAACAATAAGTGAATGAATAAGTACCGAGTAGCAACGAAGCCAAATCAAATGCCATCTTTGAATGCTACTGACGTCCACCTCATAAAGAACCAACCCGTCCAAGAACACGAATAATCAGGCAACATGTCCCAAGTCATCGTCTCATTATCCACGAAGCATACTCATATGAAGAGCATAAAGCACTTTGACTCTTGTAACATACATCTCGACCCCACCTTCTCTCTCCATCATCCGCATCAGATTCCTCGTCCAAAGCGTCTCATTCTCCCCTCTACTACTCTTTACAACACAAACGAAGCATGGCACCCCGTCTACAAATATTCCCCCTCTCCCTTCCCCCTTTTCAAACATTACTCTGCCCATCCACCCATCCATCCATCAACAAACGTCTTCCCAAACAATCTCCAAGGCTTCACTCCTCAAAACAGCCTCTTCCCATTCCCCAGTAACTCTCCAACCAGCGCATCCCCATCTCAAGCAACTTCACAAAACAAACACAAGCAAACCAGCAACCTCTCTCCTCAAACAGCCCCTCATGCCGTCTCCATGCCTCCACATCAAACTCCTCTTCAAACCATTCCGCAAACGCAAACCCTCCAACCAAGAACCACACCCCTATAGATCCCTCCCAAATCCCTCCTGACCGCAACCATGCCTCATCAAACCAGGCATCCCCCCTCCTCCTCCTCCTCCACCTTCAACAAAACCTCCTATCCCTCCGCCGGAGTAAACACCACCACCACCACCACCACCACCACCAACAACAACAACAACAACGACAACACCACCAGCAGCAACACAAGACACCGTCACACCCAACCCCCAAACAACGCCCCCAACCCCCTACGCCAAACCATCAACCAAAACACCTTCATCTACCCACCAAAAACGCCCACAAGACTCACACCAAGACCAAGAAGAAGCTCATTAACCTCACGCATAGCAAGGCATCTCTCCCATGCATGGAAATCCTTCAAAAAACGCTCCCTCGCCTACTACAACAACAACGAGCGCTACCAATACACACTCATCCGCACCAAAAGAAACCCACACACCCCTCACCCAAACATCCATCTCAGCACGCACTCTTCACAAACAACACCTCGTCCCCATAGAAGAAAACATCAACAACAACAGCAACATCCTCACCACCATCGTCCTCGTCCTCGTGTTCACCATCACCACACTCACCGCCGTTCCCGCCCTCAACCCCCAAAACAAAACCACCACAACCTGCCCTACCCAGATTCCTCACAAGAAACCCTCATGCCGCCTACAGTACCTCCTATATCCCCCCACCACCAAGCGCAACTGCCTTCTACTCCCGTTGCTTCAACCCCAGGACTGCCGCCCTGGAGCCGACCAAATCTCCCTCCCCTTCAACCCGCAGTCCTCCCCCTTTCGTACTTCTGTCGCGTGACCCCGTACCAGCCCGACCAGATCCCAATCGTCCAGTCCCCATATTACTTTCTTGTCCACCTATCCGAAGATCAAATAGCCCCCTCTCCTACCCTTCAACAGCAGGGAGAGCAGAGCCCTTTGATACCAAATCACCTTGTATCTCCATATAGCCTCTACCGTCCGTAGGCCGTTGCCTGTACTACAGATGTCGTCAATTCTTGTTGTGTAAATCTTGCATGGAAACTTGTTCTCTCCGAGTGACTTCTCCCGAGGGTAGGAAGAGAGACAGCGGGTAGAGAAGTGTAGGTCCAGTTATCACAATGTGCCTGCCGATGGGTTTAACTATATTTTACTTGATATCCTATTGTATAACCATACTGAATAACCCATAATCCCTCACACGCCGCGTGCCACTTTTTAGGACAAGAACTTTTTATCTTTTTGTTATTTTTCATTTGTTTGCCCAGTCGTAACAGCCCTTTGCCAAGCACCACACAGAACCAGCAACCTTTTGCATCGTGCACTCGTTCAATGCATCTAGGCCTTTGTGATTCTGCACACCAAGTCTGAGCCGTCGACGGAGTCGCCCTCCTTGACCTGCAGACTGGCAACCTTTCCGCTGTGAGGCGCTGAGATAACCATTTCCTGTCATGACTGTTAGCAACATGCCCTTGACTGAGAAGGACGAGTATGAAAGATCTTACCATCTTCATGGCTGACAAAACAGCAAGAGGGTCGCCCTTCTTCACTTCGGAGCCTTCGTGAACGCGAAGCTCAACCAGGACACCAGACATGGGGGCGCCCACCTGGCTGGAGTCGCCAGGGTCAGCCTTGGGGCGGCTGATGTTCTCAACGGCAGCCTTCTTGTCGACGACGGTGACCTGTCGGACCTCACCGTTCATCTCGAAGAAGACCTCGCGGAGACCGGTCTGCTCGCTCAGAGGACCAATAGCGAGGAGCTTCAGAATGAGGACCTTGCCCTTCTCGAGCTGTACGTTAAACTCCTCACCAATCTCGGGTCGAGCAAGGAAGTACCTGGTCGGCAGGACCGACAAGTCGCCAAACTCGTCGGTGATCTTCTTGTAGTCCTCAAAGACCTTGGGGTACATGACGTACGAGGCAATGTCGCACTCGGTGACGGGCGCGCCAAACTTCTTGCCCATTTCACGCTTGACCTTGACAAAGTCGACAGGTTCGAGGTAGAGGCCAGGGCGCTTGTCGAGCTTCCGTCGTCCACGAAGGGCGTTTGTGCGGAGAGGCTCGGGGAAGCCGCCGTAGGGTTGGCCCATCAGGCCCTCGAAGAACTCGAGCACTGACTCGGGGAAGTCGAGCTCGGAAGCGCGAGCCTTGACGTCTTCGGGGGACAGCTTGTTGGACACCATGAACTGGGCAAGGTCACCGACAACCTTGGAGGTGGGGGTGACCTTGACGATATCGCCAAGCAGGTCGTTGGCCTGTTCGTAGGCCTTCTTGGTCTCGAGCCACTTCGATCCGAGACCCAGCTGCGAAGCCTGGAACATCATGTTGGTCAACTGGCCACCGGGAATCTCGTGCTCGTACACCTCGGGGTCGGGCCCGGCAAGGTGAGCCTCGAACGGAGAGTACAGCAGACGCAGCTGCTGCCAGTACGTGTCCAAGGCTCGGACCTGCTTGTGATCCAGGCCGGGGTCCAGATCGGTACCCTCCAGGGAGGCCAGGATGGCGTTGATGCTGGGCTGGGAAGTCATGCCAGACAGGCTGTCTGTGGCGGCATCGACGGCGTCGGCACCAGCGTGGGCGCAAGCAACCATGGAGGCAACACCCGTGCCGGCAGAGTCGTGGGTGTGGACGTGAATCGGCAGATCGGGGTACTTCTCGCGGATGGATCCGATCAGGAGCTTGGCCGCATGGGGCTTGAGCACACCAGCCATGTCCTTGATACCCAGGACGTGGATGTCGAGGCCGACGAGCTTGTCAACCAGGTCCAGGTAGTAGGGCAGGTTGTACTTCTTGTGAGGGTTGAGCATGTCGCCGGAAATGCACACGGTACCCTCCACAACACCGCCAGCCTTGTGAACGGCCTTGATGCCAACCTCGAGTTGGCTGACGTCGTTCAAGGCGTCAAACACTCGGAAGATGTCGACGCCGTTCTTCTTGGCCTGCTCGACGAAATGTTCAATAGCATTGTCGGGCAGCGAAGAGTAGGCCACACCGTTGGCTCCACGGAGCAGCATCTGGAAGGGGATGTTGGGCACCAGCGCCCTCAGCTTGCGCAGTCGGTCGAACGAATCCTCGTGGAGGAACCTCAGCGCAACGTCAAAGGTGGCACCACCCCAGCACTCCAAACTGTAGAGGTTGGAGAGGGCGTGGCTCGTTTCCTTAGCGATGCCGAGGAGGTCAATGGTTCGGACTCGGGTGGCCAGCAGAGACTGGTGGGCATCTCGCCAGGTGGTGTCCATGAGAAGGCAGCCCTTGTACTCGCGAACAGCCTTGGCGAAGGCCTTGGGGCCCTGCTCAAGGATGATCTTCCTCCAACCCTTCTCGCAGGGCTTGCTGACGTCAATCTTCTCGCCGGCGGAGTTGAAGAGTTCCGGAGGAATGATCTCGCCCTTGAACTTGGGCTCGCCAATCTGGCCCTTGATGGAGCTGCCGTTGACGGCAACGTCTGCGAGGTAGGCCAGCAGCTTCTGAGCGCGGTTCTGGCCGCCGACGAGGTCGAACAGCTGCGGGGTATCGTCGATGAAGGTTGTCCAGCAGTTTCCATCGATAAAGGTAGGGTGCGTCAGGAGAGAAGCCAGGAAGGGAATGTTGGTCTTGACACCGCGGATACGGAACTCGATAAGGGCACGGAGGACCTTTCTGCGAGCGATTTCGTATGTGCTGCCATGCGCCTATTCGCTGTTAGTATATATGCCTTTGCCGGACAACAATGTCGGCAAGACGAAAGCCACATACCGTGCACTTGACCAACATGGAGTCGTAGTGGGGGGTGATGACGGCGCCAGCAAAGCCGTTACCACCATCGAGACGGATGCCGTTACCGCCGGCAGATCGGTAGACCTCAATCTTTCCGGTGTCTGGTCGGAAGTTCTCAGCAGGGTCCTCGGTGGTGATACGGCACTGGATGGCAAAGCCGCGAGTGGAGATGCGATCCTGGGTAAGGCCGAGCTGAGCAAGAGTCGCGCCAGCGGCAATCTGGATCTGGGCGGCGACAATATCAATGCCCGTAATCTCCTCGGTGATGGTATGCTCGACCTGGATACGGGGGTTGATCTCGATGAAGTAGTAGCGGTTCTGCTGGTCGACCAAGAACTCGGCAGTGCCTGCATTGCGGTAGTTGACAGACTTGGCCAGTCTGACAGCATCGTTCAGGATGGCGTCTCGGACCTCGGCAGGGAGATCCTTGGCGGGAGCAATCTCGACCACCTTCTGGTGTCGGCGCTGAACGGAGCAGTCACGCTCGTACAGGTGGACGATGTTGCCGTGGTTGTCGCCGAGCAACTGGACCTCGATGTGCTTGGGCTTGTCGAGGAACCGCTCGACGAAGACGGTGCCGTTGCCGAAGGCAGTCTTGGCCTCGGAAGTGGCTCGCTCAAAGCTCTCCTTGAGGCTCTCGGCGTCGCGCACAACTCGCATGCCACGGCCACCGCCACCGTAGGCGGCCTTGATGATGACGGGGAAGCCATACTTGTCGGTGAAGCCCTTGACCTCCTCAAAGGTCTCAACGGCACCCTCGGTACCGGGGACGACGGGGACGCCGGCGGCAATGGCAAGCTTGCGAGCCGAGACCTTGTCACCAAGGGCATCAATAACATCGGCAGTGGGGCCGACGAACTGGAGGGCATCAATGTTAGCCGGGCCAAGGGATGCTAGCATGCTAGGGTCTCCGACGCTGGCCGAGGACTTACAATCAGGCCGGCCTTTTCGACATTGCGTGCGAACTCGGCGTTCTCGGACAGGAAACCGTAGCCTAGCGAGATTAGCAACAATTCTCTCACCTCGCGTGTGATATCAAAATTGAAATATGACAGCAAAGTCCAACTCACCAGGGTGAACCAGCTGAGCGCCGTGCTCAACAGCAATCTTGATGATCTCGTCGCCGGCGAGATAAGCTCCGACAGGGGTGTACTGGCCTCGCTTGCCAATGACGTAGGCTTCGTCGGCCTCTGAGCAAAAAAAGCGCTGTCAGTGCTGGGTCTTGCCGCGGGGTGCATGTGATAAGGAATCTATTGATGATTGCTTCAATCTTACTCTGGCGATGCATCGACAGCCGGTCCTCATAGCTGGGCAGAAAAAAAAACCAAAAGTTAGCCCTGCGCCCTAAGGACTGGCTAAACGTTATTTCAGCGGGATGACAGCATCCATTTACCTGAAGACAGCGATTGTGTGTAATGACAGTTCGTGGGCCTGCGAGGAGGGGTAAGCTTTGGATCGACCAGGCTGCGCGAGGTCGGCAGCGGCGGGCAGAGAGGGGCAAGACTGACTGTTCTGAAAATCTATGCGCGATGCGACAAGGGCGCGTTAGCAGGGTATCGCAATGTGTCGCTGCTGCGGCGGAGCGGGAAACGACTCGGTCTCTGTTCAACGTACTCTGATGGCTGCGAGGGGCGTTAGCAAGAGCATGTCGCGACAAGAGCCATGGTGGGGGATTTTGGTAGTAGGACTCACGGATTTCACCACGGTTGGCAACTATTCAGCGCAGCGGCCAGCATGTCAGTAAACAGTTTCCCACTCTCCTCTCGCCTGACAAGAGCGCCAATTGGCGCCGGCGAGACACTGCCGAGGCCGAGCTGAACTCACCCAGGATCTTCTTGAGCTGCATGATGCTGGAGTTGGCGCGGATGTGGTGGATGGTCTGCTTCTCCTTGGGCTCGTCGACGTCGTCGTCCTCGAAGACGTCGTTGAAGGTCAGCGTCTGCTGAGGGTGAGGAACCGGAGTGCCAGCCATGGTGGGCAAGTCGGGCTGGGGCAAACGGAAAGCAAAGCAAGATAGAATAAGGGATACTGGCTCGAAGACGTAGGGGATATGGAGAGACAAGAGAGGGAGGGAAAAAGGAGAGCAGCTCAGCACAGAGGGGAGAGCTCGAGACAGAGAAATGGCCGGATCGGCTGCCTTTTAAGAGGTACGAGCAGCACAGAACAGAACAGGGGAGCTCGGCCCACGGTTTCGGGGCTGTTTGGAGGGGCGGGGGGGCAGGAATCAATGGCTGGCGGGGTGCTGCAGAAGGTGGGGGGTGGGGTTCTTGCAGCCCGGAAGTCAAAGCTTCCAGCGCTTGTGACGCTGAGTTGCAGCGGACGGGCAGGAGGGACGAATGACACAAGGTACTGGTACGACGCTGTTGGTGTTGTGAGTGTGGTCGCATGGTGTACATGTACCGTGTACTAGTATCAGCCATCATGGAACTTGGGAACTTTCAGCCCTTGGACAAGAAACAGCGCAGGCATCAACTGAAGAAAGCACCAGACGTCGAAGGCGGAGCAAGTCTGTCACGGCACAGGGCTGGCAAATCACGATAAATCCAAGCATCAAGTATCAGCCGGAGAAGCTGGAAGCAGGATCCCCGACTCAGCAGCGCTCCTCACGCACTCGACACCCCTCAAGGTCCACGGTGACACTGACGTTGGCCATGGCAAGGTAGTGCTTGCATGTGCTAGTAGTAGCAAGATGTGCTTTATATTGTGTATTATATACCATGACATCAAGCGGGACACTCGTGCCGTACCTCATGCATGGTGCTACTCAACTTAGGGGTTGTGTTACCAACCTGGAAGGGAAGAGGGGTTTGCAGGAATGCTGAATATAGGCGGCTACGGCGTTGAGCAGCATGGGACGCCACGGCTCTGTTTTTGACTGGTACATAGGCCACGGGGTGGCATCAAGCAACGCTATTATTACTACGTAGGCAAGATGCGGTTGGATCTGCAAGCGGGAGAGATCATCTTGTCTCAGCTTCTGCCGGCTGTTCGTCAGCTGATGCGTCTAGTAGTTCAAGCTGCTGCATCGGTGAGACAGGCAGATGAGCTTGTCCTGGCTCTTGTGTTTGACCAGTGCACTGGACAGCAGGCTGGTCCGGCAAGCAGGAAGAGGGGGGGTCCATGGCGAGTTGAGAGCTGAAAAATGGCTCTCATCGTTTGGTTGCTTTTTTTCTTGTCTTGGGAGCTGTCTCAACTTTGTCCTACTACCTAGTAACATACCTTTGGCATGCCTCTTCCTGTGCCTCTCCATACCTACAGCCATGACGCACCGTCTTATCACCTACCGAGTGCCAGCCTCAAACCAAACTGAACTACCACAGGCAACCCGCGCAACAGAAAAATAACCCAACAGTCATTCCCATTACACACCGGATCCCAACCCACCACTGCTACTACTACTACTACTACTGCTACCGCTAACCTTGCGGGCCACGCCTCATCGCCCGCCATGCATCAACCGTCTAGTCTCGTCGATTTTCCCAGCTCAAACAGGCGGGGTCTCTCAATACCGGCCAATGGCATGGGCCACCCCTCGCGCCACCTCCCCAATCGTCCTAATGCCACCTCTTTTCTAGCTATATTAGGCATAGCACACAGCGCTGCTATCTATAAATAGAAGGTACTTCCGTTTACATACAAATTTATATAGAAACAGATGTATCTTTTATCGCAGCCAGGCCTGCCCTAATGCACACTAAAAAAGTCACGCCAGCAGAAAGTAAATAAAACACCACACTTTTAGCATTACTAAAATCTACTGCAACTAGCATAATAACTTCTAACAGCAATAGCACTCCTTCCACCTACTAATTTAGGCCTGTTTAAAGATTTCCAGGCAGCCCTTAACATCTTCCAGGCGCATGCAAAAGCTAAAAGCTATGCTATTATTCTTAGTCATTTAAATCGCAATATAAAAGGATAGGTATATCGCTATTAGATTCTCTGCGCTTACAATAGGAAATATCACAGCAAAAGCACTAGACTTTAAAGACTAAGCACTAGAAAGACCGGCTGCACCTTCTAGATAAGGCTTTCTTATTATATAACTTAGGATAACCTCTAATTCGCAATAATTATTAACAGTAACTATAACCACAGTCCTAGGCAGGCAGTTAGCTTTCTAAAGCATTAGAAAGTTAATAAGCAGCATCTTGCTAGTATCCTAAAGAATAACAAGATAGGCTTAATAGCGCAAGCTTCTTAGCTTGCGTTAGTCGCTTAAGATAATTAACTTCTCGTCACTAAGCGCAATATCTTAAATATCAGCTCTTAAAAGGAAAGACACACTTTTAGCAAATATACAGCAGTCCAGGCACTTTTAAAAGAACTTAACAATTAAGAATACTATTATAAAAAGCAGCTTTCTAGTAATATAAAGCTAGAATATCTCTTTATTATCCTTAATAAGAAGTTTAAGATATAGCATGCCTTACTGCATATTATAATGCTTAACATAACATATAACACTAATCATTATAGCCTTAAGCTTCTAGAGATTAATAAAATAACCTCACTAAGCATAGTCTTTCCTATTACCTTTACCCTTAGCCTAACTAAGAATCTTATCTATTTCTTATAGGTTATAGGGAATTTAAAGGCTAGTTTTACAAGCCATGCCTTCCAGCATGGCCTTAACTCCTAGGACTTAATCCTACATATTATTATCATAGATTTTAATACTGCAGAGCGGCATTTAATTAAGAGGCTATTCCTATTTATACAGAAGCAACTCTATATCTAGCATATCTTAAAAAACATTAAAAAAGCTATTAAGGAGAGATGGGTTAGCAAGGATCTTATTAAGGAGCAAAATCTCACTATCTAGCAGCTAATTTCTATTAATTTCAAGCCCCTAACACATCAGATCCGGCAATAAAGGAATAGTTGCAATTTCCTTATTGCCTAGCACAGCTTGCTTTATACACTAACTCCAGAGGCCTTTAATAATAACTGGGAATTTATAAAGGACAAATTTACAGCCTAGTAAGGTCAGTTATCTGCCTTCTTTTAATTATTATGCTGACTAGCATTTCTAGAGCTATTGCGTTATCTTTAAGAAACCTATATATAGTTACAGGCCTAGTAGTTATTTACATTTATGCAATTCTATTAAAATTACAGTTATTAAACAACGTCCCTAAATAAGGCATAGCATGCCAGCATAAAATCCTTTCTTTAAGATAGTTAGGGCAACCTTTATAATCTATTTTATGCCCTAGAGCGTTAGTAAATAACAGTAAAGGCGCATTTTGCAGTAAAGTTAGAATTTAAGACTACTAAATTATAAAATACATATCGCTTTAAGCTCTTTAATAATATTATTAACATAGTCTTATAGAAAGCCCTGTCTCTAGTCTATTATTAGTATCTTCTAGCAAAGGCAGCATAACTAAATCCTATAAAAAACGCACTGCCAGAATGTCTAAAGTCGTTTATAGCCTAATATAGGCTGCCATATGCCTACATTATTAATAAATATCTTAGTATTTAAATTTCGCAAAAAAACATGCATTTAGTCCTTATTAACACAGCCTTGCCGCTAACTCTTTTTAACAATAACTAGCTGCTTCCTTTTAACTTTATAAGTATTATCAGCTCTATCTAATAGTTCTATTTACTAAGGAATTCAGGAAAAGATAGACCTATATAGATAAATCCAAGATCCTTAAGTAATAACGCATAAGCAGCAGCTAAGGAACGCCCTAATCCCAGCTTATTAACGCCAAAATAATACATTACAACCATTATCCATAAATACAGGCGCCGCTATACTACTACTAAACAACCTAGGAGGGCTTAGAGCCCTAATCTAGTAATAAATCTAGCTAGGGTTACAGCAGGCTCTAGGCAATATTATAACACCACAAAATCCCGCAATCATTATATAATAACTAACATTACCAGCCTCAAATCCACCGCATTAAATATTCCAGCAGTCACACGCTGCCTAATCTTAAATGCAGCGCGTTCCCTCTGCATTTAAGTGTATTTAGCCTCCTCCTAAAATGCAGGGCGGTTGCAGAGTTAGGCGTAAGGACAGACTGCATTTCTTTAAGGCGTAGGAATTGCAATCGCTAAGTCATTTTGCAATTAAGAGCGGCAACGACTAAGTTATTCCTCTGCAGCAGCCTTAAGCTCCAATTTCACAGCCAAATACCATATAAAATAGGAGGCCTTTACTAACATTATAAAAATAAACCTATCGGCTGCGCCTAATAATGCTTTAACCTTATAAGACGGTTATTAATCTCACAGAGGAGGAATAGAGTAAAAGATACATCTTTTTCTATAGTAAATACACCTATTTCTATATACTTCTAACATGCCTTCTGTGTGTTAATATTATAATAAGTCCTTTTAGTATATGCAGCCACTGTTATAATTATGCAACTAACGCATACCTTCTATTATTATATAAGGCAGGCCTGGCCGTAATAAAAGATACATCTATTTCTATATAAATTTATATGCAAACGGAGGTACCTTCTATTTATAAATAGCAGCGCCGTATGCTATGCCTAATATAGCTAGAAAAGAGGTGGCATTAGGACGATTAGGGAGGTGGCGCAAGGGGTGGCCAATGGCATGCCCAGGATAACGCAGCCTCTTACAAGTTTGGCGCTGTGTTGATATTAAGCTTCGTCCCAAGAGGAGCGGGATGCCCTGCCTTGGCCTGATTCCCACTGCCTCCATCCAGCTACCTACTAAATTCTGCCCATTTGCACGCCCCTCGTCTTTCGGCATGTCTTCCCAAAAGGCCACCGGGCGTGACTATGTCGAGCCGATCTAGCGGTATCCATGTTAGTAGCAGTACCTTGCCTTAACTCTCGGAGACACTTGTCCTGCCAGCCAAGATGCTAGCACCACGCCTGCAAGATGCCGTATCCACCAAGGCTCCAGACGCTGGAAGATGAAGCCAGACGGTAAAGGGTCTGTCTGGTCTGGTCTGGTCTGGTCCTGGTTCAGTTGCCTCCCAGATGCGACTGCGGAGACGTCGCCAGTGCTATGTATCGAGATGAGCCCTCCGGAGCTAGAAGTGCTTGCCGCTGTCTCTCCCACTCCAGTTGTGAATTCCCTGCACATCACCAATATACGTAACGTGTTGGATCTGGATCTTGCCCTCGCCCTGCATCCCCCATCTCATCATGTCTCGTCCGCACGCACGCACGCACGCAACATATCACGACGCCCACTCTATCTCGCCAAATCCTGGCTCTGCCTGTTTCTCCATCAATCACAGACAAACCCCTCTCCATGCATGCGTCCTCCCTTTTCCACGAAGTCTTTACCGAGGATATCAGAATGTTGTTTGTACATAATAGTCGTCGCCTCTCAACACACACAGACCTCGCATAGACGCGGCTGACGAAGGCAATCATATTAAATTATGAGACGGGGATGTCGGGAAAAGTCGAGACAACTTGCTCTCGTCCAGCCCGACCAGTTTTCGCATGTCTGCATGATCATCGTCCGTCGCTCATAGCAGCTCTTCTGAGCAAGAATGCCTCCTTCTCGGCTATGGGGAAGTCTCCCGTAACGTAATAGATATCGTATCGCCCGGCCCGAGGGAATCCCGTGATCCCCTGGCACGGCATTAGACTTGCGTAAGGACCAAAAGACGTTACCTCATTAGCAGCACGTTTTTTAAGTCGTCGAAGGCCGATCTGAGTGGTGACTGTGGGTTTTGTTTCCCTTGTCATGACGGCGGCATATCTTGCAGATGTAGTACTAGTACTCCGTGCGTACATAAAGATGGGAAACGTTGAGATGCAACCCGAGATCTGTAAAGGGACCCCCAACCTGAGCTGGCGAATGAGCTGCCCGACTTCCCCTTGTACTAGTTTGACCTCGGCGTGTAAACCGGTCCCCCATCACTCAAAGCCAGCCGCTCAACTTGACTGGCACCATTGATGATACTCTACAGTGATGATGATACAGTGGATGCTAAAGTGGCCTAGACGGCCGTCGTCCTTCGTCCCTCCGGCTATTACAGTAGTATAGCTGATCAACAAGCCACCAACGAAGCCCCATCGAACAGTCAAAACTTCTGGTGAAGAGATTTTTCCCCCATCTTGACGTCTACCTAGGTATCTACCTTATCTCCAAAACGTCGCCGTCCATCGCAACGCCGATCTAGCGCGTCTTGGCTATCGAGAGATCACGGCGGGCTTCCCTTCTGCCCTGACGTTGCATCTTTAGCATCGTTACGGAGGAAGCTATCAAAAATGATGTCCTGAGGCCCGACCAGGGGCCCTGGTCGTAGCCCTTGTTGATCGTAAGCACTAGGATCAATTTAACCTAGCAAGTTGGGTAGCAATTGCAGCCCAACCTTCTTTTTATACGTACGTACAGGTATGTATCTGATGAAGCCGGCACCTAGATATTCATTCAATCAAGACAATGAGCTACAACTTGACTGACGAGGCTACCCGAGGGGCTATTCTAGCCCTGAGGGCTACAACCAACTGGACCGCAACCGAGATATCAACTATCTTAGGTCCGTCAGTCCGTCAGATCAATCGCATCTATACCTGGGCAGTTAAAGCCGGCTTCGACCCATCAGCCCGACCAGTTATCATTAAGAACGCCTATGTAACCGACCGACCAAGGCCTGGAAGACCGAAAAAACGTACCGACGAAGTCCAACAAGCTATAATAAGGAAGGTCCGACGGGATCGCTATGGCTGGGAGAAGTCATGTGCTGATATAGCTGGAGAGATGACATCAGAAGGCCACCCGGTATCAGCTATGACAGTGTGGAGGGTCCTTAAAGGTGCCGGTTATCGCAAGACTAAGCCAATAAGGAAGCCCGGTCTGACGGCCGAGATGAAAAAAGACCGGCTTTAGTGGTGCTTAGACCACCGGCACTGGACCCTAGAAGACTGGAAAAAGGTAATCTGGTCAGATGAAACGTCAGTTATCCTACTACATCGACGTGGCGGCTATCGCGTGTGGCGACGGGCCGACGAGAGATTCGTACGCAGCTGTATTCGGGAACGGTGGAAGGGGGCGTCTGAGTTCATGTTCTGGGGCAGCTTTACGTATAATCGTAAAGGGCCCTGTCACTGTTGGAAGCCAGAGACAGCAAAGGAGAGGAAGGCTGCTGAGAAAGACCTGGAACGGTTGAATCGGGAGCTGGAACCTGTTATGAGAGAGCAGTGGCATCTAACAACAAGGATGCGGCGTTTGAACGTTCGACCTAACCGACTTCCGGGCCCGCAGCCAGTGTGGAAGTGGACAGAGAAGACAGGCAAGCTTACCCGATCAAAGAAGGGAGGTATTGACTGGTATCGGTACCAGAAGGAGATCCTACTTCCAAAGCTGCTGCCATTCGCAAAGGAAGTCGGCCCTGACGCCCTTGTCCAAGAAGACAGGGCTCCAGCCCACAGTCATTACATCCAGCAACGGGTGTATGACTTGCATCAGGTGCAACGGCTGCTGTGGTGTTCGAATTCGCCGGACTTGAATATGATCGAGCCGGCTTGGCCGTGGCTGAAGAGACGGACCACACGACTTGGGGCACCTAAAAATCGGTTAGCAGCTATCAGGGCTTGGCTTCAGGCTTGGGAGGATCTTCCACAGACGACAATCCAGGCTTGGATCGAACGAATACCAAGGCATATCGAAGAGGTCATCAGACTAGCCGGCGGCAACGAGTATCAGGAAGGCCGGGCTGATGATATCAGACAACAGCACCGGGACCGGGATGCAAATAACCGACCTAGCCACAGCCTGCGACCAGTCCAGCCATCAGACGAGCCACAGGACGAGCCACAGGACGAGCCACAGGACGAGCCACAGGACTGGCTACAGGACTGGCTATAGGGCTAGCTTTGAAGATCGCGATGATGAAGGAAGGTTGTGATGATGATGAAGGAAGGTTGCGATGACGGAAGGAAGAGCCTAGCCTAGCCTTGATAGCACGAATGTCACGTGACTTGGCACTAGGCCCGATCGGGCCTGAAGGACCCACTTTTCCAAGCCCCTCAGGACATCATTTTTGATAGCTTCCTCCGTACAATCCGCCGGCTCCTCTGTCTTAGCCGTCTTTGGGCTGGAGTTTGAGACCTTTGTTTTTTTTTTTTTTTCTTTCTCTCTTCTTCTGCTTCCCTCCTGTCAACAGCTGTACAGTAGGAGGGCGAGCTCTTTCTCCGACGTCGGATGTGTGATTGGCCCTGGAGTCAGATCGGACCCCAGCCGGCCTAAGGTACTGTAACCTAGTTTTTTTGAATATTGATGTCGTCACTCAATTGGATAACTAGTGGTGGTATTATCTTTATTGTGTTGACTCAATTCGATCTGGTGGTTCCTCAATCATGTTTTAAAGACATTGATTTAGCCACGCCACGTTCGGCATGTCTCAGCATCAACGCCTATATCGGTTCACAAAACAGTCATTGTCTCAACAGCGAGATTAGCCGGATCGGCAATCACCTTTCGTCTGTTCATCAGACAAGATATATCCGTTTGTCAACGCTTCCCATATGACATCAAAATTGTGTTGCCGACATTCTACTAGTATCTCGGCCAACTTTCAGGCACGGTTAGAAGAGGATAACCTCGGGCAGCCTACTGGCTACTTGGAGGCTCTAGCTGAAGCGCTATACTGACAAGTCTGTAGATCTACGTTTGCTTCATGTAATAATGAATGGGCTTGGTGTAGTACCTAGGTAGGTTTGTATCTGGTTCGTCCTCCGTTCCTGAACCCGCCGTCTTCCATCAGTCTTTCCAGAAGAAAACAGAAGCCCACCTTGTCGGCTTCTTCCCTCTCGTCACGGATCCATAGAACATGGCATCCGGTCCACATGGCGTAAAGCCTCCCAGGTGTCTTTCCCTAGGTACCTCAGTTGTATTAGTGCACCTTATAATAGGATGTCCGTCAGGAGACGAACTGTACTTGCCTCATGATACCTCTTCTCTTCCACCTGTAATCAACCCGGTGGTGGCTTCTACTTACCTGATACTATCGTTCACAATCATCACCACAAGGCATTATACTCGCCCTCTTTTCAACCAGTACAGGTAAAGCCCAGGAATATGATACACGCGGTTACACGCTCATATCGAGTCGTTACTCAAAGGCACGGGACGGTTCATCCAAGTCCATGATTCAGCTTTCGATCAACTCTATTATCCGCCCCTTCTGCTTTCCCAGCTTGGCACCTCGAGCCTCAGGCTAATCATCCACAAAGTATCCTGAGATACAGACGTGTCGACCCAATGTCTTGGACTCCGTGAGCACACAAACAAGAATGAGAGTCTATAAGTCACTGAAAAAAAAAGTCCTAGTCTCAAGATGCGGCCTCCTCAAATTAGCTTATCAACAGCCGGCAGCCCCCTACCGACCACATAATAGCACGTCCACATCCCCTTGCCCCTCTCCTCCTTCAGTCGCGTGACCTTTTTTGTCCTCGTTTTTTTTTTTTTTTCAGCGTCCCAGCAGCATTTACCCAGCAATCCTACGTGCCTTTCGACATTTGGCTTATTTGATAGGAGCCGCCTCTTTGCCAGCCTCGACGCCCGCCTCCAGCGCCGCATTCTGCTTGCCGCCCCAGTAGTGCCATGACAGGTAGCGGTAGCCCTGTGTCAGCTGGGCGGCCTCGTTGATGACGTGGCATCCGAAGAGGAGGTAGTTCTTGGGGGAGACGGCGAGGGAGTATCGCATAAAGGTCGCAGAGTAGACGCACAGAGCAGCGGTCATCTGTCCGGAGATGCTATACAAAGGTAGGGAACGATGAAAACGGTAAGCAGGTGGGCCGGTATCGGCGGGAAGCATCCCTGGAGCTTTTTGGAGGGGGAGGAGGAAGAAGGGGGGGGGGGGGGAGGGGGGGGGTTGCGCTTCTTACAGATCGGGGCTCTTCTGCGTGTCCAGGACGGCGGCAATGGGGATTCCAAAGTTCGAGACGGGGCCCCAGAAGTCTAAGCGCGGTATACCGGTCAGCTACTGGCTCCTGGTGGAAGATGTGTAGAAGCTCGCGTGGCTCTATGGTGAGGGCGTGACTGAGGAGATGGCGAGGACTCGAGCAAGCATGGATCTGGTGTCATTTCCAACATCCAAGTGTCCTCGAGACCGCATTTCCAACATCTCCCTCTTTCGGGCCTCGAAGTATTCGATACAAGGTAGGGCTGAGCACGTACGAGTCGTGAACACATAGCTCAGCATCGGGTTGGACCGGATCTTGGCGTTGATGGCCTTTGCGAGCGCAGCCATTTTGAACGACGAACGGACGAGACGCGGTTCGAGCCGAAAGGGGAAACGAAAAAAAAAAAAAAAAAAAAAAAAAAGACGAGCAAAGGTTGGCCTCTGGAACTTTGTCTCCTGCTCGTTTCACGGAGAGGGTGCTCGGATTGGATGCGCGAGATTTGAACAGAAAAGAAAAGTCCGGCCCTTTTTTTCCCGTTTGTTGGCTGTGGTTGTCAGCGGCGGCGTTGATTTTGATCCTTGTCGGGCGGAATTTTGGAGGCCGAACCAGCTGGGAGGCGGGTCACGTGCTGAGAGCCAGGGACAGCACGTCAGGTATTACAACGTATCTACTCTTCACAACAGACGACGGTGAAGCTGTTGTTCATGAACGCTCCATCTATTAGATATTAAATGGTATTATATCAACATAGATCTTGCGTTTTGGACCTACCTCAGTCGAGTGTTTCCAGTCTATCATCAAGGGAGTTAACTGTACGGCAAACACATGCAGGCATGAAGGAAGCGAAGCCTACCTACCTAGTATGATGCTAGCGGCGATAAGATGCGGCCGCAATTCAGGCACGGGAATGCAGGGACCAATTACACGAATGTGATTTGCCATGTTCATGCCAAGTATTGTTCTGTAATGTCCATTTTAGGAAAATCTCTAATAATGGTTATCCTAGTAGAAGATAATAAAGGTGTAATAATAAGCTCTTTTCTTTTATAAAAGACTAGCTAGAGAGAAAGAAAGGAAAATAAATAAACAGCTATAAATACATTATAGCCTTAAGGCCTATAATATTTTAAGGTAGTCTTAAATTATTAAGTAAGGACCACTTAATATATCCCCTTTAAAACTAATATATTATAATATTATTATAATATACTAGGAAATTAATAGTATTTTATTAATTATAAAATATAGGCTATTTTACTATATATAAAAAATATAAAATAAATTTAAAAAATAGCTGCTATTTTTTTAATAAAGGAGAAATAGCATTAATAAAAATAGTAAATTAAATTAAGGTTTTCTAGTTATTAAAGTCTAAAAGTTACTTTTATTTATTAAAATATAAGGCTTTTTTAATTTATAAAAATAAATTACTAAAGTAGTAATAAATAAAAATAGGTTATTAATATAAAAATAAGTTATTAAAATAAAAATAAGGTTATAATTATAGCTAATATAATAGTAAAAGCTTACTATTTTTAAAGTCTTAAGTAGCTTTTTATTTATTAAATAAAATGCCCTTTTTATAAAAAATATATTAATATTATTAATATAATAGTTAAGGTTTAATAAAATACTTATATCTTAAAGTATTAAAGGTATAAAAGATAAATTTATTTTAATTAGTAAATAAAATGCTTTTTATAATAAAGGTCTTTTTAATAATTATAATTTAAAAAAAATAAAAAGGCTTATATTACTTTTTATTATAAATCTAGCACTTTTAAACTATTTTAAATATAAACTTATTATAATTTAAATCCTTATTAATATAAAAAAAGAAAATAAAATATAAAAAATAAAGTATAGCTAAGGTATTATAATAAGATATAAAAGTATATAAAAAAAAGCTTAATTCTTAACTAAACTAAACTATAGGCATTTAAGAAAAGTAATACTTAATATATAACTAAGCAGTATCTTCTTATTAATAACTATTATTAAAATAATTACCTTTATAAAGGAAAGATAACCTTTATTTTTAAAAGTAATTATTACTTATATTATTATTACTAAAAATTAGTAAAAAGGCAGCTTTTTTTAAGGCTAAAATATTAATAATATAAGTTAAGGCAGGCATAACTTTTATTAAGAATTAATAAAAATAATATATAATCTAGTTTAAGCTAGGTATTACCTTTATATTAAAGTTATTAATATAGTTATTTATATTATTATTTAGGTTATATAAGTAAGTATATTAAATAATTAGTATATTTAGCGCTTATATAACCTAATTATTAGTTATTTTAATTATTAATAAAAGTTAGAGAATGCTATTATTAAGTTTTATATTAACCTTATCTAGCTATTTATTAAAAGCAGCTACCTTTAAAGTAATTATTTAGTTAGTATTATATTAAAATAGTAGTATAGCTATATAAGCTGCTATTAGTAACTATAATATAAATAATAATAAAGTAAGCGCTAAATTAATAAGTATTAGTAATATAGCAGTTAGTAAAAAAGCAGTTAGTAAAATAGTAATTAATAAAAAAGTAATAAAAGCAGCAGCTATTAATAATATAGCTTAATTAAAAGACTTAAAAATACTAAGGCTAAAGAAAGTAAAGCTGCTAAAGCTATTTTTACTAAAACTAGCTTTATTAAAAGGCAATAAGCTAAGGAGCTTAATAATAGTAGTTAAGGCTATAGTTAAGATAGGCGCTAGGGATTAGTAATAATAATAAGTAATATTACTAATAGCAGAATTAGTATTATACTTATACCTAGGCTTATTTTCTTTAATATTAGGATTAGAATAGTATTAACAGTACTTAAATATAAGGTTATTAACTATAAGTAACTTTAAGTAAGAATAAAGGTAGACTTTAAGGTTAGCTACTATACTAAGTAATAAAGGTTAATATAAAAAGTAAAAGAAAATAAACTTTACTTAAGTTAGCTATTTTTTTATATCCTTATAAATAAAGTAATTATTAAAAGTACCTTTAGTAAATATAGTTATTTTAAATTAATTATTAATAAGCATTTATATATACTTTTATTAGTTTTTAAATAATATATTAATAAATTATCTTTAATAGCCTTTAATAACTTTTATTATAAAGAGATAAGCTAGGTTTAATTTTTTAATAAAAATATCCTTAAGCTTAAGCAGCAGTAATAAGATATTTAAGTTAGCTATTAAATTAGCTAATAAGCGCTAGGCAGCAGTAGCTATTATATATACTTAAGGTAGTTAAGAAGGTTAAAAGTTAATTATATATATAAAAAGTAGGAAATTATATAATAAATATATAGTAGTTAATAAGTAAAGTATAGTTTAAAAGTAAGGGTAAGGTAAATTTACTATTAATTAAAGGTAAGAGAAAGGTAAATTAACTATAGGTCTTACTATAGCAGGCTACTAGTATTAAGCATACAGCTACTAAATGCCTTACTAAAGTACTAGCTATTAGCTATTAAATTAAGTAATTAAATTAGCTATATTAATTATAAAAAGGTCTTTATTATACTATTTATTATACTCTACTGCTTAATTAAGCTAGTATATAAAATATTATAGCCAGCTATTAAAAATACACTTAGCTAGGAGTTACTTAATTTTAAATAATTACTATTTCTTATTATTACCTTTTATTTAAAAGGACTTTATAATATTAAGTTAGGAATAATTAAAAGGGTTTTTACTATTAGGCACTAGTTTTAATTAAATAATAAAGACTATTAGGTAGATTCTTTAATAAGGGGGAAGGTTAAGTTTAAATATATAAGGGTTTATATAATAATAAATTATTAATAATTTAACCTTTTATTAACTAAACTTATATAATTATTTTAATAACTTATAGCTATAATATAAATATAAATAAATATATTATCCTTCCTTAAAAAAGACTTATTAATATTAGGCATTAAACTAGCATTTATACTATATATTAATAAAGTAATAGCTGGGATCCCGTACAGTTTTCTATTAAATTATT